AGCGAATTCTCTGTCCAAGGCCCGTTGTCTAACTTGGGCAGTCTTTTCCTCGGCCTTGGAACGTCCTGAGCGAGCCCTAGCCTTGGCCTTGATTTTATTAGCTGCAGCAATGCTGGCAGTTCATGGCCTAGAAGCAGCTCTGCCTCTGATAAGAGGGGGGGACTAAGAGCCCTAAGCTGAAAAAGATGCTTGCCTGTCAGCATCCCCCATTATTGTCAAGTCAAGTATTAACAGGGTAGCCTAAAGTCTGTTCAGATAGAGAACAAAGGAAATATATTGGCCTGAAGTGCTGACAAAATGGCTGCCGGAGGTCCCAAAATGGCCGCTTCCAACTGTCACAGTTCAAATAAAAGTTTTATTGAGAAGGCACAACAGCAGCAGGTCAGGCCGCAAAGCAAGCCTGCAGACAGAAAAAAGGGCGCTGTGCAGAAGTCCAGGCTCCCATCCGACAAGCGGAGAGCCACCAGCGCTGTGCCCAGAAATAGCCGGGGGATCAAGGCCGTCCGGGCAAAACGTCGCCAGAAATGGGAACGAATGGCCGCCGCGACTTAGAGGCAAACACAATGAATAGCCCTGGTGACAGGCACTAAGCTCCCTCATGCTTTTCAGGCAGAAATCAACAAAGGCCAGCGTCCAGGCTGAATTAGGCTGATGCGGCAGCAAACGGCTTCAAAACGGCGAAAAAACAAGCGAAAAGCAGTTCTCTCAGTTGATCAGCGGCGATGAAAGGGACCGCGCGGCAAGCCGAAATGGTGTGCGCGTCCCAACCAGCTCCAAACGCAGCTGCCTGCAGTAAAAATAAGCTTGTTAAGGGACCGGGGTGAAAGCCAGCCGGCTAGCCCCCTCAGAGCATTTAAAATCAGGGGAGGTTGGGGGGAGATTGTCAGCTACCCCCCCACACACACACTCAATCCAGAAACCGGAGAGCTGCCCTTTGGCCGGTACCTGGTAATCCAGTCAAACAGAAGCACTTCAAATATAGAGAAAATAAAAAAGGTAAAAGAAGAAAGAAGAAATTCCAGGGAATTAATTATTAATATCCAACTCAAAGCTCAGGAGCTTAAGGTTGCAATCATGAGCTAGGCTGAGTTGAAACAAACTGAAGAGACGTCACCAGGGAGGCGGATCTTCAGAAGTTTCAACTCAGGACATAGAGCTAGAGCATACTAAATCCCAGCCTGGCACCTCCCATTTCTACACTATGGAGAACTATCTGTAAAGGTAAAATACAGGGATATAGATTCCATCCTAAGCTCCTTAGAGTGGACTAAAATATAATACTTAATAAAGGGTTCAAGACAGTGGTGGGTTCTGCCCGATTCTGCTGAGCCAGTAGCAGTGACTATATGACATCACCGAACCGGTTCTGCCCCTCCCACTCCACCCCCACATTATTCTTACCTTTTATTTGGCCCCACCCCCCAATCTATTGCTGCCTCCTGAGTCCCAGATGATCGTCTAGAAGGAGAAAAACTGTTTAAACTCTTGTTGCGGGGCTTCAAAGGGCCGCCTTACAGCTGATCAGTGTTAAAAGGCAGTGTGCTGGTAGACCAGTGCCTCCAAAAACAAATGAGTAGACCGGTGCCTGCAAAAATAAATGGGTAGACCAGTGCCTCCAAAAACAAATGAGTAGACTGATGCCTCCAAAAAGAAATAAGTAGACCGGTAGAGCTCTGCAAGCAGTTAAAAGCCTAGTAGACCAGTATCTCTGCTAAATCCTAAAGAATTGTCACATGACCAAGCCACGCCCACAAAATAAGCCACACCCTCAGAACCGGTAGTAAAAAAATTTAGAACCCACTCCTGGTTCAAGAGTCTTCCCACTTTGCTACTTTAGGTATCTCTTAGTATTTAAACTACCCTATTTTCCCCAAAATAAGACATTCCCTGATAATAAGCCCAATCGGGCTTTTGAGCGCATGGCAATAAGGCCAAGCGCTTATTTCAGGGTTCAAAAAAATATAAGACAGTGTCTTATTTTCGGGGAAACACAGTAAATGTTGCTTGTGTTTCTGACTCATGTTCAATTTTTTATCTTAAAATCCTCAGAATTATTGTTGTGGCAGTCCTATAGTATTAATTCAGCTTTTATCTGAAGAGTGTGCTTTATTGTAGTGTTTAGATTTCAGATTGAGAGAATATTTGTACTCATAAAATGATGTTTTAAAGCCAGCATTCTCTTGTTTCTGATACAAGATTTAAGTTAAGAATTAGTCTTAGATCACAAAGCTACTCATGAAGGATCATATGCCTTTTCCACTGTGACACCAGTCATCTGGAACAGTTTCTACCAATCCCCCCAAAATACATCTGGCCCTCACCCTGTTGGTCTTCACAAAGGCTGAAATTCTTTATCTTGCTTTGGGGTGGGGATGGGGAGGGACTGTATTGTATGCCATTCAGAGGTTGCAGTGTTTGAGTTGGATAGCCATGTAAATTCTTTAAACAAGCAAATGTTAAGGAACTGCATTTAGAAAGGAAAAGCAGGTTTATATACTGTATTTGAGCAGCCCCACAGTCAAGTCAGGCTTCCAAAAATTGCAGAGCCTGCATTTCATTTCCATTAGAACTGAAGGCTGCTTTTTTAAATGGATGTGGCTATAGCTGCCTTACATCTATAATCTGCCTCCTTTTAACTGCTTGTCCAGAATAGTGATTTTCCTCCTCAATGCTCCGACACTCCACTCATTGGGATTTCCTTTCACCTTCATTAAACCGACTGGGTGCCATTCAAAATCTCCTCCACAGCTTGGTCCCACCCACCTCCACTGCGCATGTCCAGTCTTTTCACTCAGTCAATGGTGACCAGACTGGAGTGCTTTATTCTCTAGGCTTTATTGATTAAATTTTAGGCAAAAATTTGAAAAGTTGGAATTTGTATCGTAATTTGCAGAGAGCTACAATCTCAGATTATTATCAGCGCGAAGAGCGGTCAGGTGTTTCCCGGCTGGGGCGCCTGCCGCCGCCTTTATTTTAAACGCTATTTAGTGCTTGAGGGAAGTCTGGACTTTCCCCTCAGCTGGTTTTTGCCGCGAGCGAGGAGTCGGTTAACTGTTTTTAACGGTTAAAAACAGTATATTAAAACTGAAAAAAACTGTTTAGTTTTATTTTTATTTCATTGATTATTTTATATTTCTGTTACATTATTAGCATAGTTAAGCTGATTAATTAGCTGTTTCCTGTTCAGGATTTTCAAATCTGATTTGCTTTAGTAAGTATTATTTGAATCAGTGGATTAAAAGAAAAGAAAAACACTATGAAGGAACGATTGAGCTGTTGTCCATTGCCTGAACAGGTTTTCGTTATTTTTATTTAACAGACAGTCATAAAGTGCTTGCTACATAAGGCACAGACTAACTAATTACAGGTAGTCCTAGGTTAACTATCTTTCATTCAGCAACCATTTGAGTGGTATTACCATTACAGTAGTATTGAACAAGGAGACGTAAGACAAATCATCAAAGTTGCAGTTGTTGCAGCATTCCTGAGAAATATGATTGTGATTTGAGCTGTTGACAACTGGCTCACAATTATGATATTTTTAGATATTTTTAATTGTAAATTGATTTTAGTTGGGGTGTTGTAAATTTAATTGGGCCAAAATTTGTCTAATTCTTTTAAAAAAATTTAAATTTTGTATGTGATGTTTTTTATTTTTGGCTGTTCACCGCCCTGAGTCCAGTAGGAGAAGGACGGTATAAAAATTTTAAAAAATTAATTTAATAAATGATGGTTGCAGTGTCCTGCAGCCATGTGATCACAATTTGCAAGTTCACTGTTGGCTTCCAACAAGCATAGTAATTGGGGAATCCAGCAAGAAGTTGCAAACTGCAATTACATGATGTTGTGCTTAATGCTGTATGGAATTCACTTAACAACTGCAACTGCTGGAACTGCTGTTGTAAGTTGATACAGTCATATAACATTGTGTGTTACAACCATGTCATTTAGCAACAGACAAGTATTACCAATTAACATCGTTAGCTGAGGACAACCTATATAGAATATTATCCAGGGTTCAATTTTAAATAGTTTTAAGTTTCTTATTGTCCTCCAATTAAAACATAATATAAATATAAATAATATAAAGTAAGTATAATCACCAGGACTAGCATAGACGACCTGTTCTTTCTCCTGCTTACTAATGGGCTGTTTCATTACTGGGAAAGGAAGATTCTTATATGCTTGCTAAACTTCATCCGGGCTTTCTTCTTGCATGGTATCTGTGAGTGTTCTGTGCATCTGTGTGTTTCTATGCACAGATGCCTGTGCACAGCTATCTATGTGTCAGCACTATTGGAAACAAGCCAAGATTGTGTCAGAATAAGAATACCCACAATGACATCATGATGCAAACTCCATCAAAAATCTGACACAAGTACATAAGTTGTGACTTTTACACCAACACATCATAATGCTCCCCTTTCGGGGATGTCTATGCTATGGGATAAAAATAAATCTGTAGGTGAATCTTCTAAAAATGGATGCTGCTTTGCATTTTTTACTGTTCTGGGTAGTGAGATTTACCAATATAAGCAATTAAATTCTTAAATTCCATGCATATTATCCTTAAACTGTGGGCAGTGTATAAAATACTGCATAATTCTATACCAAGTAGAAGGGTCTATAGCTGGAAGAATCAAAACTTTTATTACATGAAAAAGCTTTTTGTAAATAATGTATTATCTTTAAAAGTCCACGGTCCTGCTGGATTGGAACAGCAATATAAACAAATAAATAAATGTAACCACTAGCTAATACTTGAATACCATGGTGTTCAAATAAAAAAGGGGGAGATCAAATATCTTAGCTATTTTTAGTTTTATAATTTAACAAAAAATATGGAGTGGGATTAAGATATCAATATCATACACTGAAATAATAAGATGAATATTAGTAACCAAATGTATGAGCTCCTATGCCTGATTTCATAAGGTTTGATAATACTTTTATATTTAAAATTTAATAATACTTTAATATTTTCTTTTACTTTTGCACAGCTTCTGGAAAAACATAAGAATACAGAAAGCATGGTGGAGTTGCTGGAATTATATCAAATGGAAGATGATGCATATGGTAGTCTTGCTGAAGCCACCACAGAACTCTATCAATATTTACTGCAGCCATTCCGAGATATGAGGGAACTTGCTATGCTCAGAAGACAGCAAATAAAGGTATAAAATCAGCAATATACACTATAAAATATTATTGGACATCATAATAAGTCCAATAATATTTCATCCCATGTGATATTTTGGACATCTTTGAATGTTTGTCACACTTTCTGAAGCTGTAAAAGTTTGTGTCTTAGGTTGGATTAAAATTAGACGTACAAGAATGACTTCATATTTTCTAAGCTTTATAGTCCCTTCTGATTTCTTTTCTTGGTTAAAGTATTTGTGAAGAGGGCTATGAGAAAAGATGTTTGATCATGGGTATTGAGCACAAATGGATCTGGCCTAACTTTCTAACGTATTGAACTATTGTTTTTAGTAAGGAATATCTTACTCAGTCACTGAAATTTTGTGCAGATCAGATACACTCTGGTTTTTGAGCCTTTAGCAGTTAAGTACTTACAAGATGCGAAATATTTTTACAGAATCAATAAAGTAAGAAAACTGTTGTTTTTCTTTTGAACAAATTTGAAATTCTAGGCTTATGTCAGAGTTACCACTTAGATGCTCAGTTTTAAGTTGCGATGGAAAAAAATGCCAAATGGCATTTGTTATGATGTACATGACTTTACAACTCATTTGTACAACTGTGCTGTCTTCTGAACCACCCAGTTATTTCTATGTCCATAACTAAACATTTTTGTAACAAACCTCCATTAGACTGAATCATTTGAGGATAAGAAGAAAGATCTATTGAAATATACTTTTTATTTAAATATGAATAGCATGTTATCTATCAGAACATTCTTTTCATATTTATGTATGCATTGGTATGGTTGATTTTGTGCTGGGAACCTGTTTAAGAAAAAGATTAAGCACCTGTTTTTTATATATATTGGTCTCTCCTTAGGGATGCGTATTGTATTCTTAGTCTTTAAAGAAAAATTGCACTGATGGCATAATGATAAATAGATAAGTAAAATTCTCTTTGCTTAACTATTTATCATTGTGCCATCATTTCCACTTTTTCTTCCAAATATATCCTTCCAATAAATTGTAACATATTACAGGAATTTTGATTGTTTAGGACCTGCAAGCTTGAACATGAGTAATTCACTCTTCTAAACTTTAATTTGAAGTGCAGCTATTGGCTGTCTTATTCTATTAACATGTTATCAGATCTCTTCCAATGATAGAAAAGAGATACTAAGGAAAAAAAATGAATGACCATGAGATGAAATATAAATCCCATGCCCCAATGCTTAGCTATGGGTGGATAATCTGCAAACTACTTGCCAAAAGGTAAGGGACAGGAACTGTTTATTCTTGTCAAGTAAAAGTGCTCAGACAACATTAGCTGCCTGGAAAACTTGAAGTAGATAATTGGACAGAGATGAATTTATAATTTAATGTCATCTGTAAAGTTTTCTTCAATTTCCTTTCCAGTGTAGATTAGGACTACAGGGGAGAGGAAAGGATATCACCACACCCTTTTCAGGCTTTTTAAAAATGCTGTACAATACAGTGTTTTAAATACTTTTCTACAAAGAGAATTTTTTCCCCTGTTTGTTCTCTTCTTGTTTTCATACTCCAGCATTGATGTCTTGCTGGAACATAGCAATCCTTTGCCTGTCTCCTATCCAGAATGCATACTGTTTCTAAATGCCAACAAGTTCCCTGGAGCTTGCTCCATTTACAAGACTTTTAAAGAATAGGCAGATGTGCTTTTAAAATTTAGTAATTAGAGGGTCAAAGGTAGAGATTTTATTCTCTTTATGTGCTTACTTTGTTTCCTTTGCCTTTACATCTCTAGTTTTTTTTATTTCCTAAATTGTAGTGTCTTGTTTCTACCATTTTCCCCTTTTCAATAATAGGAAAAAGGACATGAAAAAATGCCCATTTAAGGTTTGATAAGCAAATGAGCAAAATTATAAAGGAGGACTAAATGATTTTTTTAAACTGAGTTTGTCCAATTTCCATTAGTTCATTTTCCCAAATATTTTTTTTACTGTTCAGGAAAGTCCATGATAATATTTTAAAGAATTATCCTTATATAATCTTTACAAGATTATATGTTTACTACTTGTCGCTTGCTGTTTATTTCATGATAGATATAATGAGTTGATTTATTTTCAGATTTCCATAGAGAATGATTACCTAGGACCTAGAAGAATTGAAAGCCTGCAAAAAGAAGATGCAGACTGGCAACGGAAGGCTCATATGGCTGTATTATCTATACAGGACCTAACAGTAAAGTACTTTGAAATAACAGCAAAAGCACAAAAAGGTAATGGGCACACTATTTTACATTTGCTGCTAAAGCTATCTGTCTATCTAAAATTTCTTTACATGTTCAACAATCTTGCAACCTTGCAGATTCTCAAATTATCATTATTGTTCTATGTAACTCTCTACTCAAATCACCAATTGGTGTGGTTTTCTCTGATTGAAGGTGCTTATTCAGACTGTGATATTTTGTGGGAAAAGTGTCCTATAATATGATTATTAGCACCATTCTGTTAAGTGGGGTATATTCCACTTTGAACACAAGGAATTGAAGTTTGGGAAATAACTTTATATTGAGTTTAATTTTTGAAATCAGTGTCTCTTACAATTTTCTTTTTCCCTTAAGATTTCTTCCTTTACAAATTCAATACCAATATAAATTAAGAAGCTATTGGTTCTTAATTAAAAACTATGGATACTTTCTTTTCTGTTTATAACTTTTTATTATACCAAAACTATAATTAAAAAAAATAATTATTTTCTACAGTTTCCCTTTTAATTTTCCACAAATTGATTTGGTGTGTTTTCTCCAGTTACTTTAAATAATACCAATAATTTTGCCATGAAATAACATCAATCTATAGAATACATTAAATAAGAATAAAAATACCACATTTCAAAAAGATCCCAATTTTTTTATTAAAATAACTACTGCTTTGAAGATTGTAACATTTTATTTGCATAAAGAGGAAGCTGATTTACTTAAATAGGACTTATACTGAAACTATTTCCAAGTTTGATAAACCTGCTATTAAATTTTATTTACAGCTGTATATGATCGTATGCGAGCAGACCAGAAAAAGTTTGGTAAGGCAGCTTGGGCAGCAGCAGTGGAGCGAATGGAAAAACTTCAGTATGCAGTGTCTAAAGATACTTTGCAATTGATGAGAGCAAAAGAAATCTGTTTAGAACAGAAGAAACATGCATTAAAAGAAGAGGTAATAACTGATGAGTATTCAACCAAAAAGGAAACTTGAACATTATTTTGTAGTGCTAGATTTCAGGACAGGGACTGTCAAGGCTAGTGATTACAGTTTGCTTTGAAAAGAGACTAGAAATTAATTAAGAGCTGTTATGTAAGAGAAGGTTACTATACTGAATTTCTTATTTGATTCACAACAGTGTCATTCAGATATTTTTCACTGGCAACATTTCAATAGACCGATGTGGTTCTTTCCTTAAACAAGGTTTGCTTATTTTTTAAAGTACTTAGGCACAAATATATGAAAAGTAGGCATTTATCTGTGATATTAAAATGAAAACTTTCTGGGAGGAAGATGAGGTCCAGCTTGCAGTTCTGCTGCCAGCCATTGTCATTGTCATTGAGATAGCATCGAAACCTGACAGTCATTATGATGACAACCTGAAATCCTATATCACTGAGCATGCTTTAGACCAGTGGTCCCCAACCTTTGCAACTTCGCGGCCCAGCGGGAGGGGGGGAGAAGGAACCAGGCTGCATGAGGTTGGGGACCCCTGCTTTAGAGAATTACAAATATATCAGATATATTTGGATGTCTTCAATGTTATGCTTGGACTTAAGTTTAAACCTTCAATTTGATGTTTGGACTGGGGTGTGTTCAGGGGCCTCAAAGACTTGTTTCCTAGTAGATTCTGAAAAGATGACATTTTGAAACTGGGTCACTGTTGTTTTTACTAACTGCAATGTTGGTTGAATTTACTATTATAAAAATCAGAGTTTTTGTAGTGTCATGTTTGCTGAATTTGCATCTTAACAACATATGTGAGGACAAATGTAACTACTTTGAATATATGGCAAAGAAAACTACTTTAGAAAAAAAGATTATACCAAAGTAGTACTTTATTTCAGTCTTATTAAAATTCACTCTGCTGTATTTATCCAATAATATGTATTGGGTGCATGAATATGTGTAGAAGAGTGGGCCTCTTTCTCCCCCATAAACTTTTATTGGGCCATTCAACTATTTCCAAGCACAGTAAGATATTTTATTATGTTAAATTTTTAAAATTTATGTAAAGATTTTCTTTCTACACAAATAAAATTTGACCTTTGATAATGCATATAAAATTGAGCAGTTATCATGAATAATAGGGTTATGAATAATATGGTTTTAAATAATAAAACCATGTCCTGCTCAGTGTTGGAATATTTTGCAGTTATTTTGTGGTGAGATTAAGATTTATAACCTTTATTTATTCTTTTAAAAAAATTCAGATGCAGAGCTTGCAAGGGGGCACAGAAGCTATAGCTCATTTGGATGAACTTGAAACTGATTACTATGACCTGCAACTTCAATTGTATGAAGTGCAGTTTGAAATTCTGAAGTGTGAAGAACTATTACTGACAGCACAACTTGAAAGCATTAAAAGACTTATTTCAGGTGACATATATTTGTTTATATCTATATATTTAGCAGTACCATTGACTGGTATATAGGTAGTCTTTGTTTACTGACTGCCTCATTCAGTGACTGTTTCAAGTTATGACAATGCTAAAAAAACAATTTCATGAACAATGCCAGCACTTATTATCTTCATAAAGTCTCCCAGACACATAATCACCACTACAGGTAGTCCTCGACTTACAACCATTTGTTTAGTTAAAGTTAAAACGGCACTAAAAATAGTGATTTATGAAAAAAAAATTACACTTAAAATTGTTGCAGCATCCCCATCAAAATCCAGATATTTGGTAACTGACATGTATTTATGACAGTTGCAGTGGCCCAGTTCATGTGATCACTTTTTGTAACTTTATGACAAGCAAAATGGGGAAGCCAGGTATCTGGCTTCCCCTGTGTTACCAACTTACCAACTGCAGTGATTCACATAACTGTGGCAAGCAAGAACATAAAATGGGGCAATACTCACGCAAAAACTGCCTTGCTTAGCAATGGAAATTTTGCGTTCAATTGTAGTCATAAATCAAGGATTACCTGTAGGCATTGTCCTGTGCCTGACTTGTATTACTTTTATTTCCTTTTCAAATTAAAGATTGGAGAGGAGGAAATTACAAGAGTGTCTGCAGGCATATAATAGGGAATACACATAGAAAAGATTGTGATGGAGCTGGTAACCTTGAGTACATTAGGCAAATAGCTGGTGTATTTCCCATTGTGTGTCTCCTTACTCTCTTGTAATCCCTTTCTCTGAAATCTCTCCACTCTGAGGCATGGAGGAGGGGGTAAAAAATATTCAGGCACAATAGAGATTGCCTACAAAAATTGTTTGGGTTTTTTTCTCCTCCACCCCCGCCCTGTCTCGAGATAATTCAAACAATTTTTCTACAAAAAGGGGTGGAGAAAGAAGAAAAAAAGTAATGTCTACTGTGCTTTACCATTTAAGCTCCCCCCCCACTTTTAGTTATTTCCTAGTTCAGTTATTGAAACTATTGTACAGAACAGTCCAATGTACAGGTAGTCCTCAAATTACGAATGTAATGGAGCTTGTCCATCTCATTCGTAACCCAAGGATTCATGAAAGTGAATCTCATACCTTGAACGGATTACTCCCTCCTTTCGCCTACACATTCACTAATCGAATGTGAAGCTCGTTAAATGCACATGAGGTATTTCAGGGTGGGTGATGGCTCATGATGGAACAGGCCACCTGCCTAAGACCACCCAAGGCCTCCCTGACCCACTGAAATACCTCGTGCTCCTTACAATTCCTTTCCCCCAACCTGACGTGCCGGGTCACTTACCTTGTGAAGATCTAACAAGCAGTTTCCTCTCAGCCGCGTGCGCCCCTTGGCAGTTTTGTTCAGCTGCCCCTCAGAAGCTAGTGTCAAGATGTTGATGCTAGTCTTGGATTGATTATAAAGTGAATTTATGCTTGCAGTCTAAGAAAAAAATAAATTGTAAATGTTAGTTTGATACATTTTTCCACACTGGTAACTTACCTGCTTACCACAATCACTATATACAAATATAGCTTTGTTTTCACTGAACTCCATTTTACATTTATATTATATATTACACTACACTACACTACACACTGTCCAGTAGCTGAAGCTGTCGGAGTGGTTTATGTAAGACTCACTAAATGATACAATTGGAATAAAAATATGTACAATACAATCTATTAAAATGAAAACAGCATAAACTAGATGGCAGCAAGGCAATAATTCAGAATCAAAAACAATATAAATTAAAAGCCAATTAAAAAGTTTTGGAAAACTTCTCGTCTGTAATCTACTTTGTAAGTGATTTCATGGTTGTTTCTCTCCTAGGGCAAAGGCAGAGATAGATGTTCTAATCTTACAATTACATTTCCAGTATTTTTTTTTAAACTTTTCATAATACATTTTGTAGTATGGTATAAGTTTCAAATTATTAAACTTGTTGACAGAAAAAAGAGATGAAGTAGTATATTATGATACTTATGAAAGTATGGAAGCCATGCTTGAAAAAGAAGATATGGCAGCATCCATACATTTGCAAAGAGAAGAGTTGCAGAAATTACAACAGAAAGTCCGTCAACTAGAAGCAAGGCGTGGTCGCATTTCTGCCAAAAAAGCCTACCTCAAAAATAAAAAGGTAATGTTTTTGTTCATTTTTCCATTTTTCAGCAAACAGATTTTGTAGCAGCAATAATTTAGCAGGGTTAAAATCATGAGATGTTGACTTAAAGACAGACACTTTTATTTATTTGAAATGCAGCAGCCAATCCTAATGCTAAGGCAGATTGCATTAGGCCATTTCTATGCCATCTTTAGTCACCTTCAAATACTGACGTATACCATATATAACCTTGAAAAGCCCTAATGATCAGAATTAAAATGACTCGTTGCTATATATTTTCGTCAGCCAGATATTTAATATTTTCTTAATGCTAATATGCACAAACAATAGTATTCACTAGCACACATATCCTCCTTTTGTTTCCTTACTGTAAGTACCATTGTAGGACTGAAGAGTGCAAGTTAGCTCTTAAATTAGTGTTATGTTAGTCAGAGATTAATGATATAGTTCCAGAAAAATAATTAGTTTTGAAATTCCTGAGAAATAATGCATCCAAAATGGGTTTATACAACCAGTTTGGGGCCAAATTAAATTATATGTTATGATTATAATATGGCTCTATATTTTAATTTTGGTTGGATACTAAAGACATTATAAATTTTTCTCAATTGGGTTAAGCATGATTTATCTACTGTTACGTTTATAGAAAAAACAGAAGGAGAGAGAGAGAGATACATGATGCTTGAAAACTACTCAAAAGCCTCAAGTCACACGCACACATTTATATATTATGTCAGCAGCAAAAACTTCTTTGTTTTATTTAGTTTGTAATATCCTCATTCTCTTAAATAATGTTTACTCCATAGTGTAAATCCTATGGCGGTTGGGATCCTGCGGCAAACTAGCTGCTATATCCTAGTTTGTAAACTTACTTTGATCAGACTACTCCTCCACTCCCCACTCACCTGTTTCTGTTAAATCTATTGCAAAGAAATCAGTGTATCAACCAAAGTGTTATTCATTGTCTTGCAAGAATGAGAGGTCTTTGGATCCATGGACAATCACAGATTTTCACATAGTATACCTTAACACTGATAGAATATAAATAAATTTTCGGTGGCAGAGCTTCTGCTGTGAATCAGAGTTCCTCTGCTAAAGACAAGATCAATACATAAAGCCATGTTTAAATGGAAAAATATTCTTTCTTTGTAGGAAATCTGCATTGCAAAACATAATGAAAAATTCTCACAGCATTCTCAGAGTGAGGGAGACTCAGAACATGCTGCAAAATTTGTGAGTTTGGTTTCTGTCAGTATTAAAATTTTACTTTAAATATTTCAGCCTTAATTGTCTTTGCTGATTTAAGATTCTTTTTTTAAAAAAAACTTCATATATTTGTACTTTTGCTACTTCCACAATTGGTATTAATGCAATTGCCAGTGTCCTTTTTACAGAATTTTGCATGCACACACACACATTCTGGCTGGGATGGATGTTATTGTATTGTTTGTATGTTTTGTTACATTAATTTAATAGCTCTACCTTAATTAAATTGGTTTGAATATTAATCCCAAATCTATACATTTCTATTACTAACATCAACTAGTATCTCCATTTATAAATGTTAAGTCATGAAACTACTTTCTATTACTAATAAATGCACTTTGGATTTTGCTTTCTCAGTTGGCCTTGTGTTCATAATATGTTTCAGAAGTTAGATTTGGCTTAGTTAATGTAGGGAATCCTGAAATTGGTCTTTGACATAAGTTGATACATTTTAAAAATAAATTAAAAGCTGCTTAAAGTGAACACAACTAGTTAAACTTTGATAATCTTCAGGTAGGGGTAATACAGTTTTTAATCAGAATAGTGCAGGGAGATTTTTTTCTCCATAGAACCTGGAATGTAAGATCCATGAATCAAGGCAAGCTAGACGTGGTCAAACAAGAGATGACAAGACTGAACATCGACATCTTAGGAATCGGCAAACTAAAATGGACAGGAATGGGTGAATTTAATTCAGATGACCATCAGGTATACTGCTGCGGGCAAGAATCCCTCAGAAGACATGGAGTAGCTTTCATAATCAATAAAAGAGTAAGAAAAGCAATACTGGGATACAATTTCCAAAATGACAGAATGATCTCAGTTCGATATCCATTCAATATCACAGTAATCCAAGTCTATGTCTCGGCTTGTCGTTCGTTCAGAACTGCGATAGTAAATAATCACCAGTAACGCACAGAGAATCAGGGTTTACTTTGGCAATGGTAAGCTCGCAATCAAAAGTAAAGTACAAGTCGGTGTTTTGGTTCAAAGTCAGCGCTGGGTGTAACCACACCACAGCGCTATTTAACAAAACTCAGCCCCTTAAACATACATCCGGTGATTATCAATCAAGCACCCCCCACTCCCTTAACAGTAACAGCTGCGAGCTCCAGAGCAGCAGGGACAGCAGAATCGGAGAGCCCGGCAACGTCATCAATCATCGCTATCCAGGAACTGATTGTGTGTTCGCTGCGGCTGCTTATCTCCGCTCCTTTGTCTCCCATACCCCCCATCGATGGCGAGCTCCGGTAGGACTCGACACTATGCCCCAACCACTGGTGCTGAAGAAGATGAAATTGACCAGTTCTATGAAGCCCTACAGCACCCTATAGAATTAACACCAAAAAATGATGTCCTTATCATCATGGGGGATTGGAATGCTAAAGTAGGAAGCCAAAAGATAATCGGAATAACAGGCAAATTTGGCCTTGGAGTACAAAATGAAGCAGGGCACAGGCTGATAGAATTTTGTCAAGAGAATACGATGGTCATAACAAACATTCTTTTCCAATAACCCAAGAGACGACTCTACACATGGACATCACCAGTTGGTCAACACAGAAATCAGATTAACTATGTGCTCTGCAGCCAAAGATGGAGAAGCTCTATACAGTCAGTAAAAACAAGACCAGGAGCTGACTGTGGCTCAGATCATGAGCTTCTCATGATAAAATTTAGGCTTAAATTGAAGAAAGTAGGGAAAAGTACTAGGCCATTCAGGTATGAACTAAATCATATCCCTGATGAATATACAGTAGAGGTGACAAATAGATTTAAGGAATTAGATCTGATAGACAGAGTGCCTGAAGAACTATGGATGAAGGTTCGTAACATTGTACAAGAGGTAGCAACTAAAACCATCCCAAAGAAAAAGAAATGCAAGAAAGCAAAATGGCTGTCTGAGGAATATTTACAAATAGCTGAGAAAGAAGAGAAGCGAAAGGCAAGGGAGAAAGAGAAAGATACACTCAATTGAATGCAGAATTCTAGAGAATAGCTAGAAGAGATAAGAATACCTTCTTAAATGATCAATGCAAAGAAATAGAAGAAAACAATAGAATAGGGAAGACCATAGATCTCTTCAAGAAAATTGGAGATATGAAGGAAACATTTCATGCAAAGATGGGCATGATAAAGGACCAAAATGGCAGGGACCTAACAGAGGCAGAAGAGATTAAGAAGAGGTGGCAAAATTATACAGAAGAACTATACAAGAATGAGCTTAGCGTCCCTGATAACCACGATGGGGTGGTCATTGACCTCGAGCCAGACATCCTAGAATGTGAAGTCAAATGGGCCTTAGGAAATCTGAGCAATAACAAAGCTAGTGGAGGTGACAATATTCCAGCTGAGCTATTCAAAATTTTAAAAGATGATGCAGTAAAAGTGCTACACTCAATTTGCCAGCAGATTTGGAAAACTCAACAGTAGCCACAGGAGTGGAAAAGGTCAATTTACATTCCAATTCCAAAGAAAGGCAATGCCAAAGAATGTTCAAACTATTGCACCATTGCACTCATTTCACATGCTAGTAAAGTTATGCTTAAAATCCTACAAGCTAGGCTCCAGCAGTATGTGGATCAAGAACTACCAGAAGTACAGGCAGGATTTCAAAGAGACAGAGGAACTAGAGAACAAATTGCCAACATATGCTGGATCATGGAGAAAGCTGGGGAGTTCCAGAAAAACATCTACTTCTGCTTCATTGACTATACTAAAGCCTTTGATTGTGTGGATCACAACAAATTGTGGCAAGTTCTTAAAAAGATGGGACTACAGATCATCTTATTTGTCTCTTGAGAAACCTATATGTGGGTCAAGAAGCAACAGAGAGAACTGGATACGGAATCTCTGATTGGTTCAAAATTGGGAAAGGAGTCAGGCGAGGCTGTATACTGTCACCCTATCTATTTAACTTATATGCAGAGCACATCATGAGAAAGATGGGGCTAGATGAATCACAAATTGGAAATAAGATTGCCAGGAGAAATATCAATAACCTCAGATATGCAGATGATATCACTCTAATGGCAGAAAGCGAAGAGGAACTAAAGAGCCTCTTGATGCAGGTGAAGAAAGAGAGTGCAAAAGTTGTCTTGAAACTCAATATTAAGAAAACTAAGATCATGGCATCTGCCCCTCTCAATTCCTGGCAAATAGATGGGGAAGAAATGGAGGTAGTGACAGATTTTATTTTCCTGGGCTCCCAAGATCACCGCAGATGGGGACTGCAGACAAGAAATTAAAAGATGCTTGCTCCTGGGGAGGAAAGCTATGGCAAATCTAGACAGCATACTAAAAAGCAGAGACATCACCCTGCCAACAAAAGTGTGTATAGTCAAGGCTATGGTTTTCCCACTTGCAATGTATGGTTATGAAAGTTGGACCATAAGAAAGGCTGAGCACCAAAGAATTGAGGCCTTTGAACTATGGTGCTGGAGAAGACTCCTGTGAATCCCTTGGACTGCAAGGTGATCAAACCGGTCAGTCCTAGAGGAGATCAACCCTGACTGCTCTTTAGAAGGTCAGGTCCTGAAGATGAAACTCAAATACTTTGACCAACTAATGACAAGAAAGGACTTATTGGAGAAGAACCTAATTCTGGGAAAGATTGAGGGCAAAAGAAGAAAGGGACGACAGAGAATGAGGTGGCTTGATGGAGTCACTGAAGCAGTAGGCGTGAGCTTAAATGGACTCCAGAGGATGGTAGAGGACAAGAAAGCCTATAGAAACGTTGTCCACAGGGTTGCGATGGGTTGGACACGACTTCGCAACTAACAACAAGTACAGGGAGAAGCTGAACCTTCCACCAGCTTCTTTGGAAAGTATTTGAGGCCAATTCTATGTCAAAGAAGTGATTAAGGACTATTTTACTGAGAAGAACACAAGGGGAGTTGTGTTAATCATGACTTTAGAAGATAACATCATCACTGCAACAAATATTAAGGAGCAAAAGAAACCTGGCTGTGTAATTAAGCTATTTGCAAGATTATTTTGGAAATGACCACAGAAGGAAAGAAGTGACTAAGAAATAGCCCAGACAGAACTCAATAGCTTTGTGAGATTTTGTGTGTTTGTGTAGTTAGAGTGAAACACTACAGAAACACACCAAATCTCAGAAAGTTGCACAAATACTTCATTATTTTATTTTATTTTATTTTATTTATATTTTTAGATAAAAACAGCTAAATTTAAAACTTTTTAAACTTTAAATTTCTATGTCTAAAAAATAATAATAAAACTACTTAAAAAAACCCAATTAACAATTTTTTTAAAGCTCCACCCCCCCCCCCCAAAAAACCCCAGTTACTTACCAAATTGAAGGCACAAGGCAGGCAGTTTGAGTTGCTCACCGATTGGATTGATTGCAGGCAGGCAGATTCAGTTGCTAGCTGATGCAATTGATTGCAGCAGCCAAAGCAAGGCAGGAAAAGCAAACAAACCCAAAAGAAGCAGCAAGCTGCCAAGTGGGCAAGTGGGGACCGGGCGATTGGGTAGGCATGGGCAGGGGGGCCAAGGATTTTTGCTACCGGTTCTCCGAACTACCCGCCGCCATCGTTACCAGATCACCCGATCCAATCCGAACCGGGAGCATTTGACCCCTGTGCCTAACTATATATTAAGAGACAAGAATGAACAAAAAAAATCCCAGAATTATGTGACACTTTAAAGGCTAATCATTTTTTTTAAGAATCCTATTACCTTTTGTGGATCTAGTCCAGTTTATCAGTTTATCAGATAAATGTTCATTTTTAACTTGGTTAAAGATACAACAATATTCTCTGAAGATTTTTTAGTACAAAAGACTAACATGACTACTTTTCTAAAAAAAATTGTCACAATGAGATAGCAGTAACTTATTAATAAAAAATACTGAATTAATGAAAAAGGGCCAGTTTAAAAATTTCACTGTACTAAAGAAAGAAAAATAAATATATTTATATATATGGAGAAGAAGTAAACATAGTAGACCACTACATATTTCTTAGCCAACGGATCTCAATGGAAGGTGATACAATAAAGCAAATTGAATGACATGTCAAATGCCGTTTGACAGGTTTCCAAGCATTCCATCAGCCGAGGTCACAGGGGAGGGGCGGGGGGTAGCGGTTATCATTAAAGAAGGTCTGAGACCGAGGGAGGCCACTGTTCCTCAGACGGCCGGCTGTGAATCCCTTTTTGTGAAATGGGGTCATGGGGTTCAGATGGGTTTGCTGATCACGTACCTGGCTCCCTGCCATGTGGCAACAGCCCTGCCCGAGCTACTCAATGTCATCGCCGCGGTGGCAGTTGATACCCCTAGGCTTATGGTCATGGGGGATTTCAACCTGCCGTCCGTGGGTGAGATGTCGGAGATGGCTTGGGAGTTCATGGCTTCCATGACAGCTATGGACCTGACCCAGTTAATTCATGGCCCTACCCACACAGGGGGAAACACGCTGGATCTGGTTTTTGTCTCTGGACAGTGGTCGAGGGATCTTGAGATAGGGGATATAGTTACTGAACCCTTGTCATGGTCAGATCACTCTCTCCTTCGTCTCGACTTTCGAACCGCTGCACCCCGCCGCAGGGAGGCGGAGCCAGTAAGATGGTTCCGCCCCAGGCGCCTGATGGAACCTGACAGATTCCAGACGGAGCTTGGGCCATTTCCTGAGGTTCTGGCACACGCCTCGACTGGAGACCTGGTGGCCGCCTGGGATAGGACGGCTGCTGGAGCTCTGGATCGGGTCGTGCCTTTGCGACCTCTGACCCGGCGCCGATCTCAATTGGCTCCTTGGTTTACTGAGGAGCTGAGGGAATTGAAGCGCCGGAAAAGACGCCTAGAGAGTAGTTGGAGGGCCAGTCTTTCTGAATCTGACCGGACACTAGTAAGATCCCACATTAGGAATTACTTAGTGGCGATAAAAGCAGCGAAATGTAGCTATTTTGCTGCTCTTATTGCATCATCAGATAATCGCCAGGCCGCCCTCTTTAGAGTGACCCGCTCCCTGCTCCATCAGGAAGCGCGGGAGGACCCCTTGGAGGGTAGAGCCGAGGATTTTGTTCAGTATCTGTATGACAAAATCACTCAGATTCGGGAAGATTTGGACTCTGACTGGGTAGTCTCAGGGGGAGAGACAGGGGCAGGTCTTGAGAATGTTATCTGGGATGAGTTTGATCCTGTGACCCCTGAGGACGTGGACAGGATTCTGGGTAGACTGAACGCGACCACTTGTTTATTGGACCCGTGTCCTTCCTGGTTAGTACTGGCTTTTGATACCATCGACCATGGTATCATGCTGCACCGGTTGGAAGAGTTAGGGGTGGGAGGCACTGTGTTGCGGTGGTTCTCCTCCTTTCTCTCTGACCGGTCGCAGTCTGTGTTGACAGGGGGACAGAGGTCGACCCCGAGGCCCCTCATATGTGGGGTGCCGCAAGGGTCGGTCCTCTCGCCTCTCCTGTTCAACATTTATGTGAAGCCGCTGGGCGAGATCATCCGTGGTTTCGGGGTGGAGTACCATCAGTACGCTGACGACACCCAACTGTACATATCCACCCCGGATCACCCCAACAATGCCCTTGAAGTGATGTCCCGGTGCCTGGAGGCCGTACGGATCTGGATGGGGAGGAACAGGCTCAGGCTCAACCCATCCAAGACCGAATGGCTGTGGTTTCCGACGTCCCGATATAGTCAGTTGATGCCATCACTGACTATTGGGGGCGAATCATTGGCCCCCACGGAGAGGGCTCGCAACTTGGGCGTCCTCCTGGATTCACGGCTGTCTTTAGAAGAGCACTTGACGGCCGTGACCAGGAGGACTTTTCATCAGGTTCGCCTGATTCGCCAGTTGCGTCCCTTTCTGGATCAGGACTCGTTACGCACGGTCACTCATGCCCTTGTCACCTCCCGCCTGGACTATTGCAACGCTCTCTACCTGGGGCTCCCCTTGAGGAGCACCCGGAGGCTCCAACTGGCGCAGAGTGCGGCCGCGCAGGTGGTAATGGGAGCGATATGGCGTTCCCATGTAACACCCCTCCTGCGCGAGCTGCACTGGCTCCCGGTGGTCTTCCGGGTGCGCTTCAAGGTTTTGGTTACCACCTTTAAAGCGCTCCATGGCTTAGGACCTGGGTACTTGCGGGACCGCCTACTACCACCAATAGCCTCCCACCGGCCGGTGCGCTCCTATAGAGAGGGGCTCCTCCGGGTGCTGTCAGCCAAACAATGCCGACTGGCGGCCCCAAGGGGGAGAGACTTCTCTGTGGGGGCACCTACTATCTGGAATGAGCTCCCCCCAGAGATACAGAGGATCCCGGATCTGCGCACCTTCCGCCATGCTTTAAAGACCTTACTATTTCACCAGGCGGGCCTGGCCTAATTTTCTCCCTCTTTTATAAAAGATTTTTAATTTTTAAATATCTTTTAGTATTTTATACATTCAATTTTAAATCGGTTTTAAAAGTTTGGGGTTTTAAATTTGTCGGGGCCAAAATTATTTAATTTGATTTTATTCTACTTTTAAATTTTGTATGTATGTGTTTTATTGTTTGGCTGTGCACCGCCCTGAGTCCTTCGGGAGTAGGGCGGTAGAGAAATCAAATCAAATCAAATAAATAAATAAAATAAAAATGTGGTTGGCAGGCATTCAGCAAGCTAAGCATAATTTTCATGAGCAACTTCCTCCTATGCCCGAAGAGAAAAGTTTTCAATCAGTGTGTGATACCTGCTCTAACATATGCTGGTGAAACATGGACCACTAACCACACAATCAGTACAAAAGCTACAAGTGGCACAAGGACCCATGGAAAGATACATGTTTGGCCTTATAAGACAAGATAGAAAGACCAGCAAATGGATTAGAGAACAAACGAAAGTAAACGATATCATCAAGAGAGTAAAAGAATTGAAATGGAAATGGGCTGGTCACATAGCAAGAAGAACTGATGACAGGTGGACCAAGGCAGTCATAGAATGGATCCCACTTGATAAAAAGTGTCCAGGAAAGAGACCTAAAACAAGACAAATCAACAACATCAGCAAGTATTGCATATACATATATACATGCATACATATACATACACACGTACATGTACAAGTACATACATATACATATACATACACATCATTGTTTGGCATAAAGAACTATTTATGGTGTCTTTCATATTTGGTTTTTGACATTAAAGTTTAGCAACCTTGATCATTTCAGAACAGAATAACAGAGTTGGAAGGGACCTTGGAGGTGTTCTAGTCCAACTCCTTGCAAAGCAGGAGACCCTAATTGACTGTCCTATCTCTTCTTTAAACCCCCCAATGATGGAGCACCTACAGCTTCTGAAGGCAAATTGGTCCACTGGTTAACTGATCTCACTGTCAAGAAATTTCTGTTTTGTTCTAGGTTGGTTCTCTCCCTAATTAGTTTCCATACATTACATCCATTCTTTGTAGCAGCCCCTCAATTATTGGAACACAGCTATCATGTCACTCCTGGTCCTCCTTTTCACTAGACTAGACATATCTAATTTCTGCAACAATTCTTTATATGTTTTAGCCTCCAGCTCTCTATAATCATCTTTGTTGTTCTCTGCACTCTTTCCAGAGCCGCAACATCTTTTTGATATTGTGGTGACCAAAACTGGATGCAATATTCCAAATGTGATCTTATCAAGGCATTATAAAACAGTATTAATACTTCATGTGATCTTGATTCTATCCCTTATTTAATGTAGCAGAGGATTGCATTGGCTGCAGCACACTGCTGGCTCATATTTAAGACTTTGTCCACTAGGACTCCAAGATCCCTCTTGCAGTTACTGCTGTTGAGCTAAGTTCCAGCTATTGTATAGCTGTATATTTGGTTTTTCTTGCCTAAGTATAAAACCTGACTTTTCTCACCACTGAATTTGATTTTATTAGGTAGGGCCCAGTGTTTAAGTCTGTCAAAATCCTTCTGGATCTTGAGCCTATCTTCTGGAGTGTTGCCTATTCCTGCCAACTTGATATCATCTGCAAATTTGATGAGTTCCCCTTCTATTCCCTCATCCAAATTGTTTGTGAAGATATTGAAGAATACTGCGCCTAAGACAGAACCTTGGAGTACCCCACTACTTACTTCCCTCCATGTAGATGTAGTTCCATTAAGGATTACACTATATTGTCCTCTGGAGAAGAAAGTAATAATGTAAGGATATTATTCTTTCCTCCCAAATTTCTGTTCCCCTTATATTTTACCATTTTGTTTTTATCATCAGAAAAGAGAGCGGTTGCAAGATGAGGTAGAAAGAAAAAACTCATGGGTTAGTCAAGAACGACAGAAAACATTGGATAGACTTCGAACATTTAAACAGGTAATTGGAAAAGATTGACTTCACTTGAATTTTCATATAGTAGTTTAAATAATAAATTATTAAAGACATTATTCAATAACAATTTGAGCAGTTATCCCATGAAGTCTGAATTTGCCAGAACTCCCTATCATCTATACACATGATGTGTGGATCAGTTGTTAAATTATACACCACAGGAAATTAATAAAGAAGATTAGTCTTAAAATCATTTTTATTTCAACTTTCAGCTAGAAAGAATAATTACACTTGAATCTTCTATAATGGATTTTTCAATTTAGTTAAGTATATTATATAACCTTTCAGATGCTGTTGTCATCTATAAATGACTGAAAATTCTGTTTAAAAAGAAAAAAACTAATTTTTAAAAAATGAATTTTAAAATAGGAAGATTTAAAGCTTGGTTTCACATATTTGTTATCTTTTTTATCTTCTATGTGATTATTTTTGATACGGTTCTTGCTGACTGCTGGGGTTATCAGTAATCAGTGTTTACTGTATATCACTAAGGTTGTTGAAAAAATATGGAGGAATTAAAATGTTCTTCATATAATGCAATTTACATCAATTGTGCAGAAAAAGAAAATTTATCTTGAATGAATTTTCATCTTCAGATGAAAATAAATTATTGTCACCGCATTCTAAACTTTCTACATTCCACCTCTATTGAAAATGTGATTTCAATATTGTTTTTCTGCTTTCCTATTTCATTTTATTTTAAAGTTTCTGGCACTGAAATATGAAATATGTAAATGACTCCTTACTGTAACTTTTTAAAAATGAAGTTTGCATACTGGGCTACAGAAGTGTAAAATTCTACAGTTTAAATTCTTTTTCTTTCTTTCTTCCTTTCTCCCTTTCTAAGCGCTATCCTGGGCAGGTAATTCTTAAATCAACTAGACTTCGGCTGACTCATGCAAGAAGAAAAAGTACAGCCACTTCAACATCTTGTCTAGATCATTCCCCATCTTCACCAGTAACTACACAGACAGATAATATGGAGCAAGAAAAAGTAATCCAGCCTTTCCAAAAACAGGAGTCTACAAGTTTAGGACAATTTGAAGATATTTTTCTATCTCATAGTAGTGTTATGTCTGAATTTTCTCAAACTGATTCTCTTCCAGCTCTCATTAGTACTGAATTTCATTCCAATACAATCAGTGAGGCACCATTTCCTCCTCCTCTACCACCGCCACCACCACCACCTCTGCCCACCAAGGAAGAATCTACTCAGTGCTCTGAAAAAAGCACTAGTCCTGTTAAACAGAGCAATGCAGAGAAGCCAGCTCCGTTGCTCACTATTGCACCATCGGCTCATTTTTTTGATAGCAGTGAATTAGTCAGTGCCAAGAAAAAATTGAAGAAAACTGGTGATATAGAGGGATTGCAAAGAAGAAGAGGTAATTTGTGATTTATTTTGAATGAAGTTACGTAAAAAGTAAAACCAGTGTTTGTTTGCAATTGCTTGGCTAATAATCAAAAATAATAGCCAGGTTTCAAATCATTAGCTTGTCACACTAAAAAAAACTTTGAGATTGTATACCATGAACAATATCTGTCTAGGCCCATATGTTTGAAACAAAGGATCTTTCAAAAGCATTTGTAATATAACTTGAATTTTTATGGGAGGGTGGGGGAAGATCAATAATCATTTCTTAATTGATTGGGAATGCTGAATTGCTACCATGTGAATCTTTTTAATAACAACATGATTCCAACTGTATTACAGTAGTATTGTTTCCACCAATCATTCAACAACATCAGGTTTATATCCATTTATTATTTAAATATATCTCCATTGTTGTCTCCCTCTCAGAGACAAGTTAACGAAGGATATTTCTTTCAGGATTTAAAAATAACGCAACCTCAAAAAGTAGACATATACTGTATTCAAGAAGTGATTAGTAGAGGTTTATAATTTTAAAAAATACCTTCCCTGCCCTCTATAATCTAAACAATTTCCTTTGTTTTATTTATAATAAGAAACAATTAACAAAAATATGCATCCAGAGAAGAGATAAGCAAATTTTGTTTAAGATCTTTTTTTTTTCTTTCAATGAAGGCAAAGTTATTGCTTGCTGAAAACTATTTAATGTGCCATAAATAGGATTATTTATCCCATTAAAGTAGGTCATTTAGGTGATCTGGGATATTGTCAACCCCTTAATTTAAACAGATTTTCCTAGGACCGTGTCGTAGCTATTGTGCAAACAAGAAGATATGTGGCTTCTTTAAGAAAATCCAAAAAATACAGCAAGCGCACTCATGTTAGATTTGAAGCACCTTTCTCATTTTGGATCTGAATACTGCACACTTTTATCAAGCACCTTTCTCACTTTGGATCTGAATACTGCATACAAGATAAAATTAGAACTTGTAGTATGTAAATTTATATTTAGTAAGTCTTACTATTTTCTATAGTGAGTTCACCAATGGATGAGGTTTTGGCTTCCCTGAAACGTGGCAGCTTCCACCTGAGGAAGGTTGAACAGAGAAATCTACCCCCATTTCCTGATGAAGATGACAGCAATAACATCCTGGCACAGATCAGAAAAGGCGTGAAACTGAAGAAGGTTCAAAAGGACATAATGAGAGAATCATTCACAATTTTACCTGATGATGATCCTTTAACTCGCAGCATCCATGAAGCACTACGACGGATTAAGGAGGCATCACCAGAGTCTGAAGATGAGGAAGAGACTCTACCATGCACAGACTGGGAAAATTAAGGGTAATTTTACCATAAGTATATAGTATCCTCTTAAATGATGCAGCCTTTACAGGAACTATTGTCAGTTTTCTTCCATAGGAGAGAAAATATTAGAGTGCCTTAAGACCAACAGACAATGTAAACATTTTCTTGTTTACATTTTCTTGTTTTTTATTTTCTTAAGATATTAGATTAAAATGCTCTTATAACTAATAATACAATTGCCACAAGCTATTAATTTTTCAAATTAAAGCAACAAATTTACCAAGGAGAAAGCCACAAAACTGGCACACACATATATATAAAAGGTTTTTAGGGCCTTTTAAAGGCTAACAGGATGTAGGCCATTCTAATCTCCAAAGAGAGGATGTTCCATAGAGCAGAAGCCACTGTGGAAAAAGTTATCTTTGGTCCCTTCCAGCCAATGCTTCTTTGCCACCTGACACATTACCTAGTTGGGTGATAAAACATCTGCAAGCAAATAAAAAGCATCAAGTTTCCATAATTCAACTCTGAGCTACATATATTATCTTCTACCGGTATTAGAATTTATAAACATACTCGCTGTATACCTGTGCTCCGCTATGAAACTATGTGATTGATAACTACTATGGGCTTGATAAATTGAAACAGCTTGAAAATTAATGAGTACTTACAATCTGCCTCTCCTCTCACCTTCTCTCCCTCAGCCTTGCGCCACAGAAGCCTATCCTATCCCCTTCTCACTGAGCCTTGCCCCACAGAAACATCTTCTATCCTATCCCCTTCTCTCACTCAGGCTTGCCCCACAGAACCCTATCCTATCTCCTGCTTGCTGCTGTGAAAGTAAAACTGAAACTCCTTTTCTCTGCTTGTGTTTTGCATTTGTAACAGATTTCTTTTCAGGTGGAGATGGGGAGTAGAATTATTTCAGGTGGAGATGGGGAGTAGAATTATTAGCATCAGGCGTGTTAATAATAATATATGAAATACTAATGCTCTGATGGTCATTTCAAAAAAATCCTTTCTTAGTGAGCACCTAGAAGCCAAGAGGAACATACATGGCAAATTTCAAGTTTGTAGGCTTTACGGTTCTGGAGATTTTGTTATGATGTGCGAGTAGTATTTCGCTTTTACATATATAGATTAAACATAAGAGGAAAGCCATGTAGCCTGTGCCAGCCAAAAAAGTTTGGTGATGAATTTTCAGATGTACAAATTTTATTAAAGGCATACATTTTTCTGAGTTATAATACAGCTTTATCAGATTCATGTAGTAGAAAGTTCAGTCACACTGAAATAAGGCATTAAGTCTTAATCTGATTTCTGGATTATAAACTGAATAGAAACATTTGCTGTGTTAGTTTTACATTCAACTTGCTGTCATGGCTGTTATCAATTTGACAAAGATGTCCTTATCAAATTAATAAATGAATTGGCATGCTAGTAGCTAATTACTGGTAAATTTAATAAAATGAAGGCCATGTCTGAGGTCTTTAAAATATGTTTTTCAGTTAAGAAAGCTTTCATTTAATAATATAGCCTAGTAAAAATACAAGTACTGTATTTTTTCAGTATAAAATTTACTGCAGAATCATTTATAAATTAAATGAACAGTTTATAGATGCAAGTGTTGGTCTCATCCATAGCTCTATCTGCAGTAGTTAAGCATATTAAGTGGCTCTGTATCTGGACCAGAAATGCTAATGATGCTGGATTCCAATAGATAGCAACTCAAGGATATTTTCCCCAGTTCTGATACATCAAACTCATTTAACTAGAGATTCCACAAATTTAACCTGAAGATTTTAACATGCAGAGCAGATATATTGCTGTTCAGTTGTGGCTTCTTCCTGTGCCTCCTATGCCTATCTACTGTCTCTGTATCTCTCTCTCTATATATATGTCTCTCCACCCTCCCTCCCCCCCCTATGTGTCTCTCTCTCTCTCTCCCTCTTTCTCTCCCCCTCTCTCTGTGGTCTCTGTCTCTCTCCCTCTTTATCTCCCCATTTCCCCTTCTCTGTATATCTGTGTGTGTCTGTCTGTCTCTCTCCCCCTCCCTCTCTACCTCCCCCTCTCTACCTCTCTCTCTGTATCTCTCTCTCTCTGTCGCTGTCTCTCTCCCTCTTTATCTCCCCCATCTCCGTATCTCTCTCTCTGTGTCTTCTATGTCTCTCTCTCTCTCTCTCTCTGTGTCTGTATCTCTCTGTCTGTCTCTGTATCTCTGTGTGTGTGTGTGTGTGTGTGTCTCTCCCTCTGTGTGTGTGTGTGTGTCTGTATCTCCCTCTCTCTTGTGTCTCTCTGTCTCTGTCTTTATATCTCTTCTCTCTCTCTCTTGGAAAGCCAAGGCTGGGCCAACCCGACGAGCTCTCCTTGGGGCTCTTCGCTACTCCCTTTCTTTCTTCTTGGTAACTTTTCGGAAATCCAGGCTGGCTAAGGAATGAGTGCGAGCCACAGCGAAGGCTTCCCCGAAGACGATCCTCCTCCTTCCCCTCCTTCTTTTGCAACCCCCTGGCCGGCTGTGGCAGGGCCGGAAGGACCCACTCAAAGGAGTGGGGAGACCCTCAAGTGAACACCCAGGCTTGGCCAAAGCACAGCAAAGGCACACGGGGCGGGTGGATTGACTGGCTGACGGGCAAACGTCTTTGGCGAGGGTGCTCTGGCTTTCTCCGAGTCTGACCCCCGGGGTGGGCATGTGAGGTTTGGCGGGGCCAGCCCCCTTTTCCCACTGCCCTGAGCTTCTTTAGTCCTTCAGTGGAGCGGTGCTGCCGGAGACTTTGATTGAAAAGCATCATCCAAGCAGTTTAAAGCCGCAGCTGGGTGCTGCGGGCCCATCCCCCTTTCTGTTGTTTCCTCCTCCCAGATCCCATTCCCACCCCACCAGCCCTCGTGTTAGCAAGGCTGAGTTCGGTCACAGCCGGGTCAGGCCAATGTCTCGGGGCAGAGAGCTGCTTGCATGTCTCCTCAAGTGACTGAGGCACATCCAGCACCAATAAGGGCTGGAAGAAGTGCCAGCAAGAGGTAAGGCACCGGAGAATCAGCCCCGGCTGCTTCTCCATCCTCCACTGTGACGCTTACCTTCTCAGGCCAGGTGAGGAGTTACTGGGAGGGGAGGGTGAAGGGCGGGGCCAGCCAGTAGTGGGATTAGCCGACAGGGAGCCACAGCAGAGGGACAAAAGAACCGCATGTGGCTCCAGAGCCGCGGGTTGCTGACACCCGGTGTAGGTCATTAAGCGGACAATAGGATGCTTCAGTGATTGAGGAGGTCCTTGGAGGTCTATCCCTGTCTTAGGCCTACCATACCGAGGCCTCTCCACCTTCTAAAACACCTTGTGCTCCACTTCCCAACCCTTAGGATTGGGAAGACCTTTTCCTCACACACCAAATGCCTACAGGCCTTAGGCCCAATTCTCACCTCACCAGGCCCCACACTTTCCTCCTCATTTACCTTCTGAAGATCTCTGGGCCTCAAGATGGAGAAGAGAGCTGCATGACTGCCTTCTGGAAGTGGCCATCATTTTCATCACACAATTCCTTGTGGGTGCAGCTGCCATGTAGGTCAAGGACAGACTGTTCCATTTTGCTGTCTTAACTCACTGTACACAGTGCAGACTGCATTGTAGCAAAATGGAGTGGTTTTGTTCCTGGGCTGTGTGTGGCAGCCTCATGGAAGTGACTGACATTTTGGTGCACCCACAAGGAATTGCAAGTGCACTGAAAATTCCACTGTTTCCAGAAGGCAAGCCACATGGCACAGGGATATGTATTGGATGATGGGCATGTAGCGAGTAGGTCCAAGGCCTGCAGTGTCCTGGCAGGATGGGATGAGGATGGGAGAGAGCTGTGGTTGGTCATAAGGGTGAATGACTACAGCAGCAGTAACTTCGAAATGGGGTCATAAGTAGCTTTGGGGGAGTCTGTCGCAACTTCAAATGGCTGTTAGGTGATCAGTCATACCTCAAGGACTATCTGTCTTTTAAACTCTCAAATCAATTGAAAGCTCTCTAAGCTGTCTAATTTTTTTCTCAGTAGAATGGTATGTAATTATATTTCCAGAGTCTTATTTTAATTGTTAAACAAATTTATACAAATACCAATCTAACCAATGGAACTTTGGCTGGCAAACAGAGATAAAACACTTGTACACAATTAAAATTAATTTAAAAAACCAAATTGAGGCCCAAATTGTGCTACTTTCATAGCAAACACATATCCTGGGCTACTCTAGCATCCTATCCCCAGGAGAAAACTGAGGTCTTCATCTTTTTCCAGAAAGCCAGCAAAGTCAGGGTAATCCAAATTTCCAAGAGGGGGAAGTTTCATAAGGGAAGCACAATGACAGAGAAGACATGCTTCCAATGTCTTATGAGGTGACACTGCTTCAGCTGAAAGCTCCATATGCATCCATAGTAGTTTCCTAAAGAGACGGTGTTTTGCTCATTAGAATGGTTTGCAAATTGTCTTTTCGGTATCTTATTATTCAGAGGTTCTCAATCATCCTGCATTTCTTTGTCATGAAGATAACCATCCATGGGCCCTATTTACTGTTTCCTAAGGAATGAGACTGAAGTACAATTTGGATTTTATTTGAAATTGGCAGTCCTGAAATCTTATATGCTATGTATACGGTTTCCCCGAAAATAGGACCCAACTGGAAAATAAATCCTAGCATGATTTTTCAGGATGCTCTATCAGGATGATTATCAGGATGCTAATTTAAGTCCTACCCCCAAAATAAGCCAGATAAATAAGCAAGTTAAGCTTGTCAGCCAGATGGATGCATTTAGTACCGTATTTCCCCAAAAATAAGACCTAACCAGATAATAAGCCCTAATGTATCTTTTGGAGCAAAATTTAACATAAGACCCGGGCTTATTTTTGGGAAACACTGTATTTTGCTCCCATTTCTTTCTCTCTATAAAACATTTTAACTATATTTTTCATTAGAAGCCAACATCCAATCAGTTGGGAATATTGTTCAGTTGTGTGTCTTTAATTCTATGACACAAGCCTTTTTCATTGGCACATTTTTTTTAAAAAAATGGCGATAAGATATCCCAAAAAACAAAGCTGATTAATTAAAATGGGAAGAAAGGATAAATGCTTTCAATGGTAGCCAATTTTAATGTAGCTCGAAGACTAGTTTTCAAGCAGTTTTTCAAATTTCTGTGTTTTTATTTTAACAGGTCTGAAGATTCCAATGAATAAGATATTTCCTTCACTTCTGAACATTCATAATCAACTGTTTGGTCACCACTTTAGGAGAATTTTACTCTGAGAAAATATTTGATATGTGCATGAATACATTTTTTAAATTCATAGTAGAAGATTTCAGTTGGACCAAAAGCTGCGTTATTTAAGTGCACATTTTGCATAATTCTGAGGAGAAAGAACCTTTCAAAATATTTTCTGATTCTTCACTTACTTTTTACATACAGTATGTGTGAAACATGTCAGCAGCTTTTGCAGCCAAGCTTCTTCCCAGCATAATTTACTAGAGCAAGTATGAAGACATCAGTGTTGAAGAAAAAGTACTGCTACATTGACATTAATTACTTGTTACACCAACGGGAATTCATTTCACATAGGAGGTAGATTTGAAAGGAAAATGCATTTTAACTACTAATAATTCAAACTATAAGTTTGAAAGTGAGAAATGATTACATGTTTAATGGAAAATGCTCTAAGAATGAAATTCATGTATTTAAAAATTTGTTTACAATCTACTGCATTATAAAATGATATATAGCAAAACTCTTAGAAGGCCATGGATACTGTAATACACCTTATATTTTTAAATTAGTGTTTGTTTGTTCTCTTATGGTAACATTTTAATTGCAGGGCTGAGTTATAATAAAGTTATACGTTTTATTTATAGAAGCAATATTTTATAATAAGAACACTTAAAATTATTTTTATCTATTTGTTTGACTGTTCTTTGATTACTCTATAAGGAACTTTTATTTAAGGAGAATGCAAGATTGAAATGAGATTTTACTTCTAAGTTGTAAAATTATAATCATTTTCATCCCCCTTCCATTTTCATTATTCCCATTCATTGTCATAAATATATTTGAATTATGTAATACCCTAGTTTATTGTAAATGATTTCGTTTTAACCCCAGGATAATTGTCTAAAGGAGACCAAGCCTCCAATACAATGAATACTTAAAGAAATGTATTCCTAAACAGCATGACTAATAGCTGCAGGCAGCTCATTTTGTACTGTCAGAATACTAAACAGTATTCCTGCATCAAGGCTAGTCTTGTCCTGTTAAAACTGATCAAAACTCAATTCTGGAGAATTTTGAGTTTGGCCAGCTCCTTCTGTTAAAGTGTACTAATATGCTTGGAAAAGGATAAGATCCCTTTATCTTAGGAAAAACTACGTTAAAATTATTTACTATATTAATTTGTTGCCCTGTTCCAAGGATATTTTATAAGGTTGCATATTGGTAGGAATGCGTATAGTAACTTTACTTACTTTATGGAACAAGAGGTGGCCCTTTTTTCTTTTAACAAATAGTTGTAAAAAAACATAAAACGTTTAAATATGTTATGAATCTTAGCCCAATACAACTGGTTCTTACAATTCCCTTGTCTATTAATGACAATATTGGCTATTTTAAAGTGATGCCTGCTATTCTATACTTGGCAGGTGTATTTCTTCAGATGCTTATTGCCTTATATAATCTAAAATATTGACTTCTGAAGGAAAGCTTAAAATAGTATGAGTTCAGTTAACATAAGAACACTAAACAGTTTGACAGAAAAATAATATTGGTTATATTAGCATCAGATATTTGTTTCATTGAAAAATTACATACTGTAATATGTTATTCATAGTTGTAATCCCAGATAATACAGGGTTATGTGGCAATAATTCATAATTGCAAAATGTAACTGTTAAAGTTTAGAAAACCCCATAATGTCCATACTGCGCTGATGGTTAGTTGTGTCCACAATAAATATACTGCATTTGAATATTTTCCCATGGCCCAAAACATGAACTTTTACAGTGAAAGTAATATGTGGATATCATGCTAAACTTTTTGTAATCATTTGCAGCCGAAGTTTCAAGTGTCACTGGGCCTTTACTAATCTATTACCAAACATTACCAGACATTCTGTGCAAAGATACAGAAATCTTTGCATTATTTTGCATCCACAGATTTTGAATTTATGGGAGAAGTATATGAAGCTCTCAGGCTTTTATAGTTAAGAGTTTTGCCTTGAAAAATGCATGAGTGTTTTTAATAATAGTTTAATTATTGCAAGAATATGAAAATGGCGTGAGTCTATAAAATGGCTTGTTTGTAGGAACATATACACTGGCTGCTGTACAATAGTTGATCTCATTTCTAGAGTTTTCCCTTTAGAGTACAAATGTTCATAATCTGTTAGGATGAGAAGACTGGTTCAGTTGTCAGTTAAGAGTACAGTAGCAGTAGTTTATTGATCAACACCATGTGCTGTTATCATAGTCAAGTTTTCTGACTAGAAGTAATTCTTAAGTTTGTTGCTTAAAGCCCATTGTATATAAAAGTTGTGGCAGGCTAAGAAGTCATAGTGCTCAGGTCTACACATTTCTCAAAATAAACCTATAAAGTATGTAGAAAAGCATTTAAGAAAAGATCTTAGTAAATATTGTTTGAATAATGAATTCCAGTATTTTATTGTTGCATGCTGCCATGCAACTCTATTTCTACTGCTAATGAATGACAAATTTCAGTTAGTTTTTTTAATCCATAACTCATATATCAGTAAATTATCTGCATATGTACAAATAAAGCTGACATTAATAAGGGATGGTAAATGCCAAGTAAAGAGTAATATGATTTGGAAAATATATGATATTTATATCATAAGGCCCAAGTCATTTAAATATTTCCATTTGAAAATTTATTTAAAATGAAGGGGAACAGTACTACTCACAAAATTGCTTTATCTTCTATACAATGGTTAAAAGAGTTATGTTCTTATTAATTGGTTGGGGTTTTATGATTATTTACATATTCTGTAATTTAGTACGTATACCTTTGTTTCTAATTTCAATCTTTTCCTTACAGAACTCTTCAAAACTCTGCAACTTATATCTTAAAAATTGTAATCATAGAAACAAGTTTAATGGCACTAACTTGCATCTTGCAGGGATATAGGAAGAATATGTATTTCACCCTAAGAAGTCTTTGCTCTTGAGCTTCATTTTAGGCAGTTATTGCTTTTCATATTGGTTTTCAGTTATTGGTTCATTTTTGTAATGGTGCCCTGTAGGAAACTTTCATAAGTGTCAATATTTTATTTTATTTTATTTTATTTACACTGCCTTTAAAGAGTGAATTGTAACTTAAAGTATATGGATTTGTGAGCATGATGTATTTTAATTATTATGCTTTATAATCCTGGTACTGAAGGTAGTCATAATGATCTCAAAAGTTGAAGCAGAATGTGTAACATTCCAAAGCCATACTAGAGAAACTTCTTGCAGCAGTTAAAAGCACCTTATTTTTACCGGTAATAATACCAATCAATCAACAGCAGTTTTCATAGAAACACATGGGAAGAAATACTTGGATTGAATGTAGGCTTCTTGTCCATCTAATGATAATTGACACAAACTAACCCTTTGATATAGTCCTGGGCAGTCAGATTTTCATGTATTTAGAAGTCAAAACTATTCTTTGATTGGCCAAGCTTCAGCAGAAAAATACGCATTTTTTCAGTTATTACATTAATAGCTGGAAAAAAATAAAGCACTAGTTTTTATCCTATAATGTAGCTAATGTTTTGAATGAAACAAACATGTCAGTTGCTGAAGAAAATCTTACATAATTCATGGATTGGAGCTATATAGACATTCCGCATGTAAGTTTTGTATAATTATTTCCTAATATTTTGCACAACCCTATGTGTTGTTTAAGACAATTATGTGGGACTCCTAAATAGCGCTTCAAAAATAGAAGCAAATAAAAGCCCATTTTTATTGGGCCCTTAAAAATCTAGAATGGCTTATAAATGCCTTGTACCAGAAATTTATTTTTCAATTTTCACACTCTGATTACAAGAAAAAAGCCAAAGGCCTATTTCAGGAAATTCTTTACCATGGTCTTGTATCTAATTGAGAAAACAATGCACTTTCCAACACTTAAGTGTAAAGGAAATAGACTTGGTGGCAAACTGGTTCTACCTTCTTGAATCAAAGAGAGGAAATAAAATTGAGTTTGGCCTGTTTGCTTCATACTGAGACTCAACAAGGGCAGTCGTCATTGGGCAACTATGTGGTTGTAACTGGCAGTAACGAATCTCCAATACTTCACCATATTTTTTTTGAAGAAGTAATGTGCCAAGGTGTAGTTTGATCATAGTGCACTACCTTACAATTTAGTATATAATTTGCTATATTAAGTTAGTATGATGTGTCTACAAGGATATTTCTTATTAGCTATAATTCATTTATAGTCTATTGGACAGTTTATTTGACCTAGACCAATTTCAGGATCTTGGCCACAATTGCTGAAAGTTTGTATCATAATATCCTCCTATTTTGACAGAATAAACACTAAAACTAGAAGCACTAAAACTAGACTTGAGTTTTTTATAAGGAAAAACATCAGAAAACCCTATTTCTTGTGCTGTCAACTTAGGCCATCATCTTCCAATAAAGAACACCCAAAGCCACCAAATTTACTTTAGACGTGTATTTTATTTAAATAAATAACATTAAATTGTAATTTGTGAATTTAGCAGTGTCTAATAAGAGAGACTGTTTTGTCACTGCCCCAAACATCCATTTCTATACCTTCTTTCATTTCTTGGGTCAGTATGCTAACTGATAGAAACAGTGATTGGATACTAAATTCATTTAAAATATCCCAGTATAATCTCTCTTCAAGAGGAAGCCTGATCTTGTCTTGAATACAGTATATATGAACTAGAGCATTGTAATTGAATGAACAGGCTCTTTGAGCAATTTAGTAGTTTCAAAAAATATATGCTATTCTCATCTCTTTTGAGAGAATATTCACTTCCTAAATTTGGAATTTTCTTCTGTCTCCTTTATTGTAGCCCTTTTATATCCCTGCTGTCATTTGGGGACTGTATAACCCAAAGGGGAGCAGGATAATGAAAGCTAGTACTTAATTGTGCTATATTGATGCAAACTTTCATGTGAGTTCCAAATCATGAAGGCAGTCCCTTTTATGAATGTGTTCTTATACTGTTTATTTTCCACTGTAAAACTATGGTAGTGAGACAAGCAGTTTTGTGTTGATTGGCTATTGCTCATTTATACATTTATTTGTCATATCAACTGCAAATTTTAATACGTATGATTTTATTCTGTAAAATTTATACATTGCCTCTCATATCACTTTAGAAGCAGAAGATTATTTCCCCATTCTAATTTGTCTCTTATTTCCTTCCTTTATTGGTAAAGATATCTTATATAGAAGTTATCATTTTCCATGCTGAGTCAAGCATGCACAAATATTTTCCCCAACATCAGTCCTAGTTTGTCTATTTTAGGTTACATGTGTGAGTGCCATGCTTTCAATATAGGTAAAATGATAATAAAATAGAGAGGCAGCTAAGATAAAGTCTTTGTTCCTGAGGTGCTAGTTTGGCTGTGGGTTTTCTCCCCCAAACTCTAGAATTTTGCTAAAACTTTGCAGAAAGAATAATAAAATCTTGTTTGCCTATAATCATGCTTTACGAATTACCATTATACATCATAGATGAAAATTCTCAGACATCCAGGTAAAGTTGTATGCAGTCATGGGAATTGGACTTTTTTTTTTGTTTGAAACGTTTTGCTGCTTATCCAAGTAGTTTCTTCAGTCTCACCATGTTTTTAGGTGGATCTCATATGTCCTTCAGTGTGGTTTCATTTCTGAATAGGCTGATTAGGTGAGTAGGCAGAGAATTGTTAAGAGACCTTACTCTTAAATTTTTCTCTTAAGTGTGTCCCAACTTGCTCAGTTTGAAGAGACTTCTTCAATAAGCAGGGAAATTTTTCAAACAAAAAAATGAAAAGTCCACTTGCCATGAGACAACTTCCAGATATCATGCATCGTGTGTTCTTGAAAGTAAACCTAAAGAGGGCATTTTGAGAAAAAGGATTTGGTCATTCCAGGTTTTTTTAAAGGGTAAAAATAGCCACAAGGATCTCCAGATAAAATTGTCTCATACATTTCTCCCTATCCTATCATTCTATTCTCCTGATTTAAATTTTCTTCCTGCTATACTTTCCTCCAGGAAAAATAGTACAGATTTCTGAATGCTTTTTTCTCTTTCTAGTCAAACAACAGATGGGTGAATGGTTGATAAATTGAGTATGTGGAATTTATTCCTTATCTAATATCATCTATAGCCTTTGCTTATCCCTAATTAAAAGTACCAGTGATGTCAGAATGGGTTTCCCAATAACACATTTTACTTCTTATATTTGTGTTTTTCTATTTAATTATCAATTGTTTTGAGTTGCCAATGTCACAGCTGTGTTAATATTTTACTGAAATGCAAAAGGCTGCCAACAAAATTGCATAGGTAAGTACAAGAAAATATTCATAGTACATTTCATTTTTAAGCTAAAATAAAAATTACTATTCATTGATTTAGTCAAAGTAAAATTTAAATCACATTGCTGCAGTACTTAACACAGCTGTATTTAATGGATACTATTAATGAACATTTCTAAAAAAGCATACTCCCGCACACCTTTGCAATACCTTTATAATGCTCAGTGTTCTAAAGTATTAAACAAGATACATAAACTAATTGAGCATTCTTAGCAATATTTTGAAATTTTAAAGTTTAATCTAATTCTTTTTGCTTATTTTTCTTTAGTGTAGTCTTTCAGTAATTTTGTTGTATTGCTTTGTACTTCATGTTTTCTACTATCATGGCTTCAAAATTCAAACCTGTACCGAAAATCCTGAATGACTGTCTCTTAACATGCAATGTAACAACATACTTCAAGTTTTGGTGCTTAAAAGTTGCTCCTTCATTTCCTTAAATAAAATATATTTATTTGAATACAGTTTCTGTCATGGGTAGGTGTTATCACATTGCTGGGGGTGGGGGGAATAATTTGCAATAGCACTTAAGACTTATATAACGCTCCATAATGCTTTACAGCACTCTCTGAGCAGTTTACTGTGTCAGTATATTGCCCCCAATAATCTGGGTCCTCATTTTACTGACTTCAGAAGGATGGAAGGCTGAATCAACCTTGAGCCGATCTGGATTGAATTCCTGTCTGTGAGCAGAGTTTGCTTGCAATTCTGCATTCTAACCACTAATTGTGCCATCACAGTTCTTCATATATTCCAATACCCCTTTGCAGTTCCAAATCTGTTGACAGTTCATGTAATGTTAACTGAAATCTATCAAATTAGGCAACAACTAGAGACTTTTCCCACACTTCAGCCTTAAAATTCTTGGCTTCTGTACAGAGGAAATGAAATCAGCTTAAGAAATACCTTTCTAGATTCAACTCTTCCAGTTTGGTCCCAGTGACAGCCTGTTCTTTGGATTTTGTTTACATTTACAGTAGATCTTGACTAATAAATTCCATTTCTTTATCCCTCCCGACCCCATGAAACCACGAACACCACACTTCTACCCTTTTTCCTGTGTCTATAGCCAATAAAAGGAAGTGGCAGAATTCATTTCAATTTCATCTGCTAAGAAACAGAAGAGAGGGCCCATCATTTCACTGTTCTACTGTTCCATCAACAAAGTTGTAAAATCATAGGAACTGATTCACTTTCATTATTTCACCAGTGGAAAAAAATGGCCAGGAAGGCCAGTGACTGGACAATTCCTGTCATAGCACCCAGTAACCAGTTGGTATGGAGTGATTTGCCTACAATGGAATTAAGTACAGTAGGTGAACTGGGCAGCATCACTTAAGTGGTCTATTCAGAAAAAAACTTCTAATATAACAGATAAAGATGGGTGGAAGTTGTCTTTTGGTGGGTTGGTGGCAGGTAAGAGGACACAATGGTATGTTCTTGGCCTTGCAAAATGGTCAGTGATCTATAATCCTACTAGGTCTAGCTGATTATGCAAACAGCTCTTCATGTAATATGTGGAACTAGCCGTTGTCTAATTTAAATGTTTGCTTTGTGTAGTAGTTTTAAAAACAATTTTACAAGTGGAAGCAGTTTTTTTAGGGGGAGAATCTCCATTTGTTGTGGAAAAAGCAGCTTTTTGTTGTATCCTTCTTTCCTAAAAAAAATTGCTCCAGTACAGATGATTGGGTGGGATCTCCTGGATTGTAGTTTCTTTTGTAAGTGAAATGAGGTCTTCTGTTCATGCAATTGGCACTGACTTCCCAAAGGTACCATCATATTATTGATCAATATTATCTATAGTTTACATCTGAATGTCTTTCAAACAGGACCAATCAAACAGATGCTTTATTTGTCTAGCTTCCAACTTGCTTATATTAAAATGGTCATTAGACAACAAAAGCCACTTGATTCTGAATAAGCCCACATTGTTCAATCATGAAACTGGTGCCTATTAGTTGCATTTGATGAATTTTGTGGCCTGGGATCAAGAAATTCTATATGGAAGAATGAAATTATTGGAAAATTCTGGAGTAGAGTTATGAGAAAGAGGCCCCAATAACCAACTTCTAGACAGGGATATACTTATAAAACCTTTTTATGTCAAAGTCATAATTTCACAACATGACACTCTAATTCAAAATCCAGTAGCACCTGAAGAATTAAGGTAAATGCTGCCATCCAATGAACAGTTTATAATTCTTAAAAAGAGTTCAAGAAAGAAAAAATAATAAAGTACATTCTTCAGAACAGCAATTGTATTTCAAAATAAAAACTGTATTTTGTTGGGTTTTAAAAGAATTTTTAACAAGACTCCATAATTGTCATATAACAAGTTACACACAATGTGATTGTTCTTCGATGTAAATTCTTGTTTGCTTTTCTTAGTCTATGACAATCAAAAGTATTTTCTGGCATATATGCTAGTGCAGAAGAGCCATTTCGTTAAGAACAACTGAGTGTAATCGTTAACATATAATTTCTAACACCCATCTAATGTAAATGAACATTAAAATATTTTTAATATAATTAATTTATATGTGCACTTACATTTACCTTATCCCATATACATGTTAGATGACTTTTGGGAATTCAGTAGTACAGCCCTCTTGGATTTTATTTTACAAACAAAAGAACCCAAAGTCAAGCATCTAAATATACATGAGAAAAGAAATTCCCAAATATTGATTTCTGATTACTAATTTTAATTTCAATAGGAAAATATTCTAAATGTGCACATTTAATTTTTTTATATACTGTATATACATATGTGTGTGTACATATACAAATAGGTTTTCTTGTACAACACATATACACAGCATTGAAGTGGAAATAACTTTGTAAACTTTTTTCCCACATGTAAATGTCCTTGTATTAAAAATTTTGATCTTATTAAAAACAATATTACATTTTTTGCCATCAAATTTCTGCTCTAACTTGCTATAATTAAGAATACAGAGCAAGAACTTACTTCATTCGTCCCAGAATTACACCAATTTTATACTTTGCTGAAGATGTTTCTGAGTGACACTCATCTAGCAAGAGAATGAGGCGCAAACTTCTTCAGGTAAATTAAAATCAGGTAATCACTACTGTCCTGACCAACAAGGTTACACATCATCAACACTTAGCTATTAAGTTTTAAAAAATCACCATAGAAAGCTTTTATCTATGAATGCAATGAACAAATATTTCCCAATAATAAATAAAATAAATGATAAAATACTCTAAAACATGGACAAAACAAATGATGTGTACAGTACATATAGTATAATACATCATAATTTAGTGTTTAATTAACAGTAATCCTGATCTTTCAGGAGACACTTGTTAAATTACAGATAAAGAAAATGTCATTTTATAAATTAAGCCAAATATTTATCTCATTTTAAATACAAATTAGAGTGCCTGTATTATACAGTATATACATACAGTACACACATAAAAAACCCGATTTATATTATCTAGTTTTGAATAGCAGTCCTTAAATGGAAAAGAAAATTCAGAGTTTATATTTAAGCTGTATTTTATATTTAATATCCAAATTAATTTGGTGTAAATAAAAAGGTCAGTGCATTGTTGTCTGATTTTTTGTTGTTGTTAAATTTTTAAAAATCTTTTGCAATATTAGACAATCTACAGCAAGGCTAACTCATTCCCACTCATGAAACATAGACTGATCCTCAGTTTGCATTTCTTTTTTTCTTTAAAATAAAATATATATATATATAAAGAAATACATATTTGGCAAAAATCTTTGTAAATTACGTCAATACAACTTAAAAAGAGGTTCACTGAGGAAAACTGAATTCAGGTCTTGTTTTGAAATTCAGAACATAGCCTGGCACATTTTTCTAATAAAGGTGTTTCATGAACATACAGCAGAAAAAAAAATCTATGCTAATACAATGCTTTCCCACCCCCCCTTTAATTGCCTGAGCAAGGTCAATGCCCCAGCAATAACTATATTTCCAGTTTCAGAATGCTTGTTAAATAAATTACTAAAACATATTTTGATAAGAAAAGTTAAGTCCATGTGATATTCAATAAGCACAGACTGAACCTTATTTGAACATAGCAAAGTTTAAAATACCTTTCAGGGACTTGCTTGTCTTCATAGATAGGCTTCAAAATGCATAACAAAATGAAATACATAATTTCTACATACATGAATTCCCAATAGGAAAAAAGTAAACCATACACTAGACAATATTATAGAACACCAGAGTGAACATTGTAAATAAAGACAGTATCTTCCAGTATAAAAAAAAGGGAAGAACTCTATACAAGCATTAATTCATTAGGTCTGAATTAAAGATGCAACTCTCTCTCACTCCTGGCAAGAATTAATTGGTAATGCACTGTTTTTTTCAACAGTACAAAATATCCTGAGAAATTATTCAGATTACAACAAAAGAGAGGGCTCTCATCACAAAGTTCTTGCACAAAACACAGCATACAGTTGCCTTAACAAAGAAAATAAAACTGATCGCCTACATTGTGTGGAACACTAAGAGGGATGTCATTTGAAGCACTTCTTATTATTTCATTGGCTAATAATTAGAAAAGGATTGCATTCAATTACTGTTAATACCCTCGAGTTATCTATGGCCAATTATATACAAGGAGGTAATTTGTACTTCAAGTTATTATTTTTTTTCAACTAACTACAAGCTGAATTCTGAAATTTTACACTGAAATACTGTATATTGTATATTGTTGAAAATTTAAAACAGGCCCTTCTGAAGGAGCATTTTTCTAATTTTGTGCAACTTTGATGCAGATCCCAACAAAGTCCTGTATGAAGAGAGACAGTGCATCTTTAAGAAGTTTGGCACTGAGATCCTGTGTTCTTTAGCTGCATTCTATTAGCTTGGCCAGATTATCTCGTAGTTCTGTAAGTTCAAAAATTTTGCCATCAAGAATTTCTAAAAGTGTTTTCAAGTTATTGCGAAAAACTTCTTGTTCATTCTGACTTTTCTCCAAACGCTGTTCAAGATCGGATAGTTGGCCTTCTAGATCTTTATTTCGAACTTCCACTTCCTTAAAAAAAATGTAATACGCAAAGTAAATAAAATACTGATTTTTAAATTCTATTCTTAATGTTACATGGAAATATTGTTGTATAAAGCATGCTACGGTGTGGCCCAGGATAGAAATTTTCTTGCAGGATAATTACATTGCAATGTAATTATCACAACATTGTATTTATCTGTCTACAAGTAAGCAAATTATAGAAGATCGCATCTGTTTTAGGACTGAGAACCATGTTTAGCTTTGTTACTAGAGCCCATCTTCAGGAAATTTCTCTCTAGTAGAAAGAATACACAGAATACCACACACAGAATAACTCAAAGCCTACACTCTGCTACAGAGAAGTTCCTTGAAGATGGGCTTCAGCACAAGTCCGAAAGCTCACAAGACTAAATACCTGGTCCCCATGACCAACCCTGATTGGAT